GATGTTTAAACCTCATCAATCTTCCACAAAGCAGAAGGGAAATATGATTGTCTCTGACAAATTAATGACCTTTGACAGCTCTGCACAAGAGGTGGAACAGATCCAAGACACAACACAGGCAGCAAAGGCAGTGGTGCATGTTCAGGTTTTATGGTGAACTCTTTATATGATGAGGTCCATCCTGTAAAAACCTCCCAACATCCCATGGCACCGTCGTGCAGCAAATTTAGGATCAGCTGCTCAGAGACATCACAACTTTCACTGTAGAAAACCACAAAACAGAAACTTCTGCTCCTAAATATCTCCTTCTCACCACTTGAGCAGGAGGGGAAGCCAAGTGAAGGGCCAGCAGGCCTTTTTATCCCTCCTGGGAAACATTATCCCTTATATTCTCTTCTGGGAACACAGGCATGCTTTATGGACAGCAGAGCACATTTTGTTCTTTCAGGGAGCTCAGGGGATAATGACATGCAGGCTCTGGACTCCAGACCAAATCTCTTGGGAATGCTTTTAAACTTGCAGGTGAATATTACGGGAGAAGTAAAAGGGAACAACTCCTGCAGTGATGGAGCTGGGCAGTTGGAATTACAGCTGTGCTGCTCCTAGTCCTCAGCTCCTCTGAGCTCAGGAGCTACATTTATCCTAAAGGAAAATCATGAGTATGTTCCACTCACTGCAAATATAAGGATGATTTAAGAGCTCTGTAGACTTATGGGACACGTTATCTAGGCTGGTGAGTTAGGGCTTGTCTGTCCTCATCAGTAGGATTGATCCTGAGCTCACCTCAAAGCCTAGTCCTGCAAAATTCTGGAGGCTGCTTCCTTCAGGCATTCCAGCCTTCCCAGTAATGGGATCAGCTCTTCCCCAGTCCTGTGCCATCTCCACATGAGTCTGCCATGGGCTGGGGCACACCAGGACATGCAGTTTGCAAGAACAGAAAGTACTCCAGCAGTGATCCTGTAGTCCCACCTTGTGCAGGTGAGTGGATACGAGCCTTTGGCAAAGACAGTCCAGGGATGTTTTCAAAGCAAGGCTTCCCAGAGGGATCTGAGATACATTTTAATGTGCACTTTAGAAATAAGGAGCTCAGTGGGAATATCTTTTGTGCAAGGAACTATACCAAAACACAGAATATACTGGGAGAAACACAGTTCAAGTGCCACCCCAAAATACTGATGTTCTCGTTTGCCTGTGTCTGAGTGAACTTCATTGTATGGCACCTACTGATGACATTTGGGAAGAACTGACCATCAGTTTTAAGGATTCACTGAGTAAGGTACTGGAAAACTTGAAAGAGAGGAGGCATCTTTAAATGCCATACTTCGAAACGTTAAATAAGAAGACAGAAAGTCAGGAGCTTCCCTTTCAAACATACATATCATCAGTTTTCAGAAAACACTGAACTGGATAATCAAAGAGTCTATCTGTGGGCTCACAGAGGAGTATAAAGGGATGAGTAACAGTCTGTATGGATTTGTCAAGAACAAATATGTCAAACCAATCTAATTTTCCTTTATGACAGTGCAAAAAGCCTCCTGGATAGAAAAGAAACAGACCATGTCATAGATCTTGATTTCAGTAAAGCTTTTGACACTGTCTCCTCTGACACTTTCATGAGCTAGAAAAATATCAGCCAAGTGAGTATATTACTGGGTAGTTGCAAAACTGGAGAGGAAATTATAGATGGAGCAATCATTGACAGATTAGTGTCAAAATAGGACTGTCACTGTACGGGCTCAGCTTTCAGCACTTTCATTAATGGTCCTAATGATGGAACAGAGAAAACACTTCTCAAGTTGGCTGACACCTCCACATGGAAAGGAGTGCCAGTATTTTGGATAACCAGACTTGCAAATGAACTTCATTGAGCTGAGTTGGAGATGATTTGAGAAACAAAGAGATGCTGCTCGGTGCAAATAAGTCAGTCTGGAAAGGAATAGTCAGCTCTGTGAGTTCCAAACGGGGAACAACTGGCTGGTCAGCACATCTGAATGGAAGTCCCCGAGATTACTGGGGATCAGGTGCTCAGCATGTGTCAACAATATCACTGTTGGGAGAAGGCAAAGCCCCACTCCACTGTGGCCTGTGAGCCATGTCAGGAAACTCCTCCTTGTAGCTTAACTTTGAGGCTTTGGATACAGAAGGTTAATGCTCAGCCACTCATCGTGTCCCTGCAAAAAACACAGTTTTCCTTAAAATCAATTTATCAGTGGCAAATTTAGCTTTGAACATATTGGGCTTGGCAAGGCAAGGCAAGGCACGACTGGAATTCTGCTGTGACTGGATCAAACTGTTCAAAAGATTTAGTCATTTTTTATATTAATTATATATATTAGTTATTTTTTGCTACCTACTTGTCTTCTGAGCCCCAGTGCTCATGAGGCTGCAAGGGTGGAGTTAACCCGGGGAACCAAGAAGGCTCCCACTGACATCTCATCAGCTTTGCTTAAGCAAACAAAACCAGTCATATAAGGCCAAGGTCCAGTTTTGCTTTCTTTTCAAACAACAGCTTCCTCTTCTCCCCACTGGTGCAGCGGGATGACAGTCCAGGCAAAGCCCTGCCTTTCCCAGAGCAAGAGGAAGCCACACACGGAGCCTTTCCATGCAAAACCTTGGGACAAACCGCTTTTCAGGTCCTCGACACACCGGCACAGAAAGGCCACGGACGCCCGAGTGCTCCCAGCCCTCCCCATCCCTCCCCCTCCCTTTTTTTATATCGAGAAAATCTGATTAAAGCTGTGCAGGAGAGAAGCAGATGGCAGTTTTGACGTTAGGTGAAGACAGCTTAATCTCCATCTGTGCTGACATTCTCACACGTCTCCCCGCGAACGCGTCCCCCCGATCATCGCTGCTGCGGAGCCGGGGGTCGGGGCTGCCCTGCGCGGGGGATTGGGTCGGAGGGATGCTGGTCCATCACCCGGGGCTGCCAGACACTGGAGGTGAGCTGTGGCTCCTGATCGTTACCCGGCGTGTCTGTGATTGGGCTGCCGACCTAATTAACGCCCCGCACACCTCGGCACCGCCGAGCTCGGGCTTTGCAAAGCGGCTGCTCCGGCCCCGCTCCGCCCGGCTCGCCGCTCCGGAGAGGCAATTAGGGGAGATTCAGGGCGAGGTGAGCGGAAAACAGAGGCACAAAGGTTTGAGGGGAAGCTAATTAGAAAGGGGTGAATTGTAAGTCAGGGGCATCTTGCAATTAAGTCACTGATGTCTTTCCTGTTCGGGTTCTGAGTAAATCTACAGCATTTTGGTGCTGAAGGCTGGAGTAGCACCTGCTGGGACACTTCCACAGTGGGGGTTTCCAGGCAGGAATGGATTTGCCACCTTTGCCTAGATCCAGGCTGAGCACTCAGTTTGCCTTTGGGCAAGTCAGGGGAATGTGGTGGCCTGGGAGCTGTGTGGCATCACAAGCTACTTGTTCACCTGCTGGAGTGGAAACTGGTTCATGTAACCCCCTCCATCACCTCAGACAGGTGGGCACCACTGAAATACAGAGCTCAACACAGCTCTATAAAAATGGTAAATCCCTTAAAATCATATGGAGGAAAACTACTGCAAAACCAGATGGTCCTGCAGCTCTGACCAGAGCACTTGGACACCTGCTTTTGCTGGGTTTCTGTGCCAGGAGCTGAGGCAAAGCCTCACGTTCCCATGTGTCAGTCTCAAACGGGGTCCACAGCACCCAGCAAAAGAGGTGAGGTGGCCACTTGAGGAGGCAGGAGCATCCCAAACCAAGGCTTGGGGGGGCTTGTTGGTAGAGTGTAAGAACAACACTAAAGGCACAGCAGTAGGGATGGGGATTCATTTCTAAGCCCCAACATAAGAAAGTGGAAAACCATTCTCATTAAATTTAGCAACCAAATAACACCAAGCAATGGGAAATGTGCAGGTGTCTCAGGTTAATGAGGCATCATTGGCACCCAACATGAGGCTCAAAGAGAGGAAAGGTGGAAATGAAATAACCACCCCTGTGGGATTTACACGTGTTTTGAACCCACAGGCACCATGATGCTTGTGGTTGTTGCTTTCCTCTGGCACATAACCATGCCAAGGTATCTGTGCCACCTGTCAATGTGTTTCAGCTCAGATATTAAGACCCTCATTGCGATAAGTACCTTTGAGTTTGTGCATTGGGTTTGTGACACGGCAAACTCTGCCCCTCTGATTTTCATCTGGAATATGTCCTCGGGGATGCACTGCTGCTCTAGCCTAAGCTGCTTCCTCTGGGGGTTTAAGGATAATGGCACCCATTCCTATGGAGAAATGCAGGGAGTATATTTGCCCAACCCTTCATCCATTTTCCCTTTGGATACAATACAATGGCCTCTGGGAAGTTTAATTCTCCTTAGATGTCAGAGACGTCTTACTTTTTGGGCTTTTCATGCAAGTTTGTGCCATTATGGTGTACCTAATATATGAAGACAGGGCCAAGAATTATCCAGAATGTGTCCATAAGCCTGCCCCAGGGGTGGGAAACCTCGAGTGGCATGGGTTATGGGAGGACATGGGTAAATTCCTAGGAAGTTGTTCAGCTCCTACAACGTGGAAGCTCACCCTTGAACAACTCTTGAACCCTACAAAAATAATGAAAGCCGTGAGGGAGAGAGGTCGTGATGGATCCATGGAGAGGCAGTTGGCAGCTGCATGTGGGGCTTTGGCCATTGCCTACTGGAAGCTGCTTGGTGTGGTGCAGCACTTCCAGGGGAAAGGAACTGATGAAAACAAAATGCCTGATACCAAGGTGACTCAGGATAGGGCCAAATCAAAGGGGCAGACCAAGCCAACAGAGGTTGCCCCCATCCAAAGGAAGAAATATAAAGCCAAATCAGCTCGCCCAGTTGACGATGATGGGGAGGCAGGACCCTCACAGGTGGCTACTCCAGAGCCAGAAATCATCACTGAGTCCTTATCGTGTAACAACCTCCGGAGCTTACGGACAGACGTTGCTTGTCATCCGAATGAGCCTGTTCTGGCCTGGATGATCCCAGTTTGGGACTCCACAGGTGATGCAGTAAACCTTGATGGTGGTGAAGCGAGGTTCTTGAGGTCTATTGCCCAGGATGTGGGTATTGAAGAGGCATTTGTGAGGGAATTGAAGTTCCTGTCTCTCTGGGCACGGCTTTTGGATGGTGTGAGGGAGAGGTTCATTTACAGAGATCCCTTGCAGACAGACCATTATACAATGGGCTGGAAGACCATAGAGGAGGGGATCCTACAACTGAGGGAAATGGTGCTGTTGGAGGTACTTTTTGGAAGGGATGGGCAACCCACCAACCATCCTGACAGGGTTAAGTGCACACCACAGATGTGGTGGAGCCTCAGGTCTGCACATAAAGGTTACCTGACATCACTGCAGGCTGGGGAGAAGCGGGAGCCAGTGATGTCTGTAATAAATAAACTTCAGTGTATGACAGGATGATCGAAGGACCCTACAGACCTGCATCTCCACTGGAGAGACATTGATTAAGGACCTCAAGGCACTAACTACAGAGGTGAAAGATAAACAGGAGAGACTGAGAGAGAGGATTGAGGGAAACAGCTCCCACATGGCCCCAGTGAGAACCAGACACCCCCCAGCTAGAGAGAGCAGACAGATCTCACAAACTGAGCTGTGGTATTTCCTGGGTGACCGTGGAGGGGACATGGGGCAGTGGGACAGCAAACCTGCCCCTGCCCTGGCAGCCCGAGCACAAGAGTTGAAAGAGAGAGAAAAGGGGAAGTCCATGAACGTGAGAGCAGTACCAGTATCCTGGGTGTGCAGTACCAGTATCCTGGGTGTGCAGTACCAGTATCCTGGGTGTGCAGTACCAGCATCCTGGGTGTGTAGTACCAGTATCCTGGGTGTGCAGTACTGGTATCCTGGGTGTGCAGTACCAGTATCCTGGGTGTGCAGTAC